CAGCAGACGTCCCGTGGGCGCCAGCAAAAGCTTCGGGAGAACCAGCGGATGACCTGGGGTGGTCAGTTTGAGTCGCATCTCATACAAAAGACGATGTAGTCGTTGGGGTGCAGCTCTAACGACAACTCAGCAAGCCTCGGCGTTTGGATTGAAAGCTGACAGATTCAGTGAGCGTTGCATTGGCATGACATTGGTCGTCACACTGTGTGGAATTTGTCATTGGAAAGAGGGGTGATATCTTCTGCATGGCGCGGCTGTCATCGAGAGGGATTTATCGCAGTCGTACATCAGCAGCGCTAACTTGAGCCAGACACCGCTGTGCATTCCCCTCCCAATATTAGCGGACCGGCTGCCCGCTGATTGGCGCAAGGCTCCCACCGCGTGCACCTTGGAACGCATCGTAAATCGTCGGAGGTCGCAATGAAATTGCTTTTGTTAATCGCATGTGGGGAGGGGGAGGGGAGGCTGATGGCCCGGAGCTTAGCCCGTCACATGTCGAATTCAGTGATCATCACTGTGGCCGCAAATGGTTGGTGCACTGGTATGAATGTGACATTTTAATATTCCTTTATGCACATATGTAGTGCCGTGACTGTTTGAGTGGCATGAAGCTTAACACGCGCCCGGGTGGCCGGTTGGATACCCTTAGCCCGGGTGGGGGGGAGGGGGGGGGAGAATTTGACCCCCTGAGATCTCGGGAACTAAGAGAGTTAGAGACACCAAATTCACAGTGTGTTAACCTGTACGCGTACTCTCATAGGTCAAAGTTTGAGGTTCCTGGGTTGTGACTTTCAGGTCAAATAAGGTCGAAGAAGGTGAAATTCCAGATTGGTCCCCAAAGGGCCCCAGAACACAGGCAACTGTTCTAAGAAAAATATAACACGCTCAGTTAAGGTCAGTGACCTTGTCAAACCTTTTAGCGGGCGTCCGGGTGGCCGGTTGGATACCCTTCACTCAAGCAGAAGTGGTCAATTTGACCTCCCCTGAGATTTCGGGAACTAAAAGAGCCAGATAGACCAAATTCACAGGGTGTGTTGACCTGTACGTGAACTCGCTTAGGTCGAAATTCCTAGGCCATGGCCTTCGTGTCAGATAGGTCAAACAAGGTCAAATTCCGGACTGGACTTCAATGGACCTTTAGAACCTAGGTAACTGTTCTAAGCAAGATGTCACACTCTCAGATAAAGTCAGTGCCCTTTTTTGACCTTTTAAAGATCATGATGACCAAAATGATATAGGGCTGCTTTGAGTTTCGCATTTGGATAAGGAATAAAGATTACGCAAGGTAGTATGTTCCTAAAAACAAAATGTTGACCCGGGTCATTTTATGTCAGCGACCTGTTCTGACCTATAAAAAGTTCAGTCCAATCCAGAAGGTGGATAATGCGGTTCCTGCCATCAATATATTCGAAATGAGCACCAGAAACCAGCTCATACAATGTGCCCGAGAGTAATAAAACATGTTGGTTTCGACCTTGTTCTGACCTTCATACCTGACCCTTGGTCAATGCTATTTGTTAATTCAATTGTTGTGTTACCTAATAAAGTATCTCAGAGATGTATGGCCTCATCTAACACTCCGTTACTTGATCAGATTGAACGATTTCCTAGAACGTGCCTTCGATGAAACCATGGCCTGACTTTGACCTGCCGTAGGTCAGCGACCTTACAAGGTTCATCTAAATTTGTTTGTCAGACAATCCGCTATTTGATTGTCTATAGCTATGCAAAATTTGGCGCGGCTACGCCGCGCCGTTTGGAAACCATTCCGGGAAGCCTTGGGGGGGGGGGAGGGGGTCAACTTGACCCCCACCCGTGGGCATGTTAAAAATAAAAGAAAGATGCCCCACAAAGATAATTGGTAATGGACCTGTGCCTCTGTATCAAAGATGAACATTCACATTCCAATATTTCACCTCGCTGTTAGTGAGTACTCGAGCACCAAAACCTGAAGTCGCAAAATAAAAAAAAACAACATTCGATTGCCTGCCAAAGACAAACACCTGCACAGATACCAACAAATCGGCACTATTTTTTCACCTAGTTGGGAGTCATCTTGGAAGTCCATTAGACTGCGAGGAGAATATTAGAATTATCTGATGAAGTCCTTTGACGCTAGATTTGAGTCGCCCAGCGAGTGCACCACGCCGCTATGCCGGAGCACTGTAGGTGTGCTGGGCTCCGATCAGGCTCCACATGGAGGCGGCAAGGCTCGAATATATTGCAACGCTGTGATAAAAAGGCTTTAAATGAGAGATATGGCTCAAAACGAGGAAAAAATGCCGCACTTTTTTACCAGTACCATTGTCCCAGAAAAGTTGTTTCTATTGGGCTTAGTCCTATAACATTGTGGGGCCTCCTTAAGCGTTATTATATTAATTTTTGTCAATTTATTGTCCGAATTTAAGGCTTCTATGAGCGTTATGGAGTTCTTAGGCTTCAGTGAATCGCCTAGTTATACAACGTCGTGGTGTTCTGGAATTTACGGTGATTGAAATGTCTTTCCTAATTTCATATTTGATCTCCACCATTACTTGAAATATGGACACTCCTGCCTCATTAGCTTCTCTGACTACTTTCAGTTTAGTCCCTCATTAGCTGCGTTAGATACGAGTGACGAAAAAGCGCATTGTCTCCCCCATTGCGCCACCATCCGAATGCTGCGACGGACGTGACCGACTGGTCGGACTGCGTTCGCTGCTGCAGGATCCCAGGGCTGCAGCGCGCCCTGCGCCCATAATCTGCCGCGTTTAGACGGGGCCTTGCGAATGCCGGACCGCTGATCCGTGTATGAAGGCGGCGACAGCGCGATGGCCGAACCCGATAGGCCCGCCCAGGCTGGCGGCGCCACTCCGGGCCGGGCTGCGGGCTCCGCTGAGGAGTCCAGTAGCCGCCCAGGCTGGCGGCAGGCTCCGCTGTGTCCTCAGCCCTCGGCCACGGGTCCTGCCCCGGGGACTGGATGACGTCCGGACCGGGCGGTCTCTTCCTCTGAAAGCGGCCAGGTACGGGCACAGTCCCGGCACCTGAACCAGCTTCCGCTTCAACCTGTGGCGCGTCACATAGGCTTTCAACGAAATGATGTCAAAAACCCTTGTGATCGTGATCAGATATCAGACATATAATGATGTTAAATAGAAGCCAACATCCACCTTATCACAGCGGTGTGCCTTTGTACGATAAATCAAAACGTAAATGGTGACTCAGAAAGTTTGCTACGGTACCCACGAGTTCCGAGCAAAAACGTATATGTCTGATTGACAGAATTAAACATTTTCCTTATAAAACCTCAGCTTTTGTACACTTCATGTTAAGCTATATACCCTACAGCTGATCTGGCAAGTTGATTTAAACAGATTGACGTAAATTTTGTTCGCAGATAGTCGGAAGCTTCCACAGGCTTTCAGGGTAAATGACATAGTTCAAGTCAACTAAACCACTAGTTATGTGTCAAAAAAATGACCGGTGGTGGTCGTGGATGATTGCGTGACCTATCATGACCTTCACCTAGAATAACATTTAATTGCGTATGACAGTGGTATTACTTCACTGCAAAACGTCTTAAACATTACTATGGCTGGTATTTGAGGGATACCCGTCCTGGCATTACTGCCAATTGCATTGACGCTGACCCTGTCATAATCCTGCCACGGTTTTTGCTTCGCGATCTAGAGGCCAGGAGCCTTTCAGTTTTACGTCTGGCTTAGTTGCGTGCATTACGTAACCTTTTGGACCGTTATGAACAGCTACAAAAGGAAATTTTAGCACACAGTATAACATGGCACCGGTACCTCAGCAGTCTTACTGGGTGTTTGTAAGGCCGCAGGGTTTGGTTCCCCGCTGTGCCCGTCCTCCCTGTCAGAGTGAGAAGCAGACGATGCCATACCTCAGCAGTTGAGTGCGTCTTAAAACTCCAACTATCAATAACCAGCCAATGAGCACAGCACAGCGCATGCATCATGCAGTGGCTATTCACATTTTGTCTGCAGAGGTTTGGAGACAGGTCGTGCTTCGATAGACTGCCATGGTACGGCGACCGCTGGAATTTCCGGGCCAGGTGAAGAGGGCTTAAGTTTGGTGGTACATGGTTCTTTGGGGTTTGCCCATACTGTGTGCACATATGCGAAATGTGGTCTACACCAGAGCATAGTGCAGGATGCAATATTTATTATCTATGAGCCACGGTCCGGATCCATTCACAGGATAGGCTATTCTCAGATCCTCGATTTGTTCCAGCCTAGAACGATTTTTGGCGGCGGAGAAGTGCACCGAGTTGTAGTCTCTCTGCAGTGGCATGCCCTTCGACCGTGCCGCTCGTGGGGAGCCGAGTCCAAGGTTTAACCCCCAAACCTGGCCTGCCGGGCCGGCGGACCCTGAATCTGCACGCCTCGTGTTGCAGAGGCCTGGTCTGTCGGGCCGGCAGACACTGACTCCACCTGCCCCTTGTTGCAGAGGCCTGGTCTGCCGGGCCGGCAGACACCGACTCCACCTGCCCCTTGTTGCAGAGGCCTGGTCTGCCGGGCCGGCAGACACTGACTCCACCTGCCCCTTGTTGCAGAGGCCTGGTCTGTCGGGCCGGTGGACACTGACTCCACCTGGCCCTTGTTGCAGAGGCCTGGTCTGCCGGGCCGGCGGACACCGACTTCACCCGCCCCTTGTTGCAGAGGCCTGGTCTGCCGGGCCGACAGACACTGGCTCCACCCGTCCCTTGTTGCTGGGGTCTGGTCTGCCGGGCCGGCGGACACTGGCTCCACCCGTCCCTTGTTGCTGGGGCCTGGTCTGCCGGGCCGGCGGACACCGACTCCGCACGCTCCGCGTTGCAGAGGCCTGGTCTGCCGGGCCGGCGGGCACTGACTCCTTGCGCCTCGTGTTGCAGAGGCCGGCAGCATGGCTCTGCTCGCTCGTCGGCGCCGCGGCCGCCGCTGACGTCACAGATGACGTCACGGGCGCGCCAAGCTGCGGCGGCGAGCGGAGCTACGACTGCGACGCGCCGGAGCCGCCGCCCGACTTCCCCGTGCTGGTGCCGCCGCCGCCCGTGCCCGAGTTCATGGAGGAGTACGTGCAGCGACTGCATCAGGCCAGCGGCGAGTGTCTGCTCTGCAACTGGGCCGCCGCCAACGACTCGGACCCGCTGGCAGGCCGCGGTGAGTGCCGGGGTGCGGGGCGCCGACCGGCAGACCTCGGTATGTGCTGGTTTGCTAGGGGACGTGCTGGCAGGCGACTGGGCTGGGCTCGTCACTGTGCGCAGCTGGGAACCAGGTTGTCTACAGGGTGCGTGCGGACGCAGGCATGCCTCGGCACATTCGGACTTACAGACAAGTTGCCCGAAAAGCCTGACATAATGGAGGCAAATGGAAACTGTTGCGTGTGTGGATGCGTTGCTGGAATCTTCCTCGTCAGAGTTAGCTTCGGGACATGGGACACGTGACGCGTAACTGTGAGACCGCGGTAAACTCGCTCAAATACCAGACCCTGAACACACCTGCTGATATCCATATGCCCGTAACTTATCGGGGCTGCACGAAAACTCTCATGACGATGAAGATAATTAAAAAAAAAAACGTAAGCCGGGGGCAATGCGCGTAAGTTGTTCGATAGCGCCTAATGTCACAACGCCGGTGGTCTAGCGAAATTGAAATATCAAGGCACCAGCTTTATGTCGAATTAGCGCATGATATGAAGACCACCCGGGTGGTTTGTGGGCCTCACGTGTGCATTGCACCGTGCCATCAGATTAACGTGCTTCTGTGGCAGCAGCTTACCGGGCCGTCACAGGGATCCGTGCTCTGCTGGCCCGACTGGTTAGGCACGGCCCCCCACCTTCTGCCGCGGCTGGTTAGGCACCTTCTGTGATCCCCTGCCTCAGATGGTTCGAGGCCCTCTGTGACCCGCTGCCGCAGCTGGTTAGGTACCTTCTGTGATCCCCTGCCGCAGCTGATCAGCCACCTTCTGTTACCCGCTGCCGCAGCTGGTCAGGCGCCCTCCGTTACCCGCTGCCGCAGCTGGTCAGGCGCCCTCTGTTACCCGCTGCCGCAGCTGGTCAGGCGCCCTCTGTTAACCGCTGCCGCAGCTGGTCAGGCGCCCTCTGTTACCCGCTGCCGCAGCTGGTCAGGCGCCCTCTGTTACCCGCTGCCGCAGCTGGTCAGGCGTCCTCTGTTACCCGCTGCCGCAGCTGGTTAGGCGCCCTCTGTGACCCGCTGCCGCAGCCGGTCAGGCGCCCTCTGCTGACGCGATGCGGGCCTGGCCGCCCACTGACGAACGGGTGGCCACCGGCCGGGCTCACCCTCTGATCTGCGGCGGTGGCTGGCTGGCTGGTGACTTTCTCTGATATGCTGCGGCGACCATTCAGGTACCCCATCTCACTTGATTGCTGTGTGTAACTCTCACATCAGGTGCCGAAATGCTGACATACTGCATTACGTAACGCACTGTTGTGAGAACTCTTAGATGGGTATATAGCGTGACATGGGTGCGATTACACTATGGTGCTGCTGGAACCAAAGGCCTGCATTTGAGTGCAGTGTGAGGCCAGTCGGCATTTGAATGAGATAGCTGGTTTTCACAGACTAACAAATAATTGTTCCGCAATTCACACTGCGGCTGTGTCGACAGCCCGCTGTCGTATTGTACACCTTGGTCAAGTGTGGCATTGTCCGGGAAATAATATGAAGATGCCTGACAAGAGCGGCACTTCTGTGCCGTCGCGCGATTCGAGTTCGTCACCACTTGCGGGTTTCGTAAGATCACGTGCGACCCACATCTTTGTGATGCAATGACAAGAACTGGTCATCCGCCGGCAAAAGCCGCTCATAATCCCGTGGACACCTGGTGACTCGAGCGCCACTCGGTGGGCGGTGCAGGTGGCGGGGAGACGGGGGGGGGGGGGGGGGGGGGGGGGGGGCAGAGCTAGGCCGATGCGCCCGGAGCGTAACGGCGTCAGGAGCGGTACAGGGCCGGCCGGAGAGCGGCGTCAGGAGCGGGGCAGGGCCGGCCGGAGAGCGGCGTCAGGAGCGAGGCAGGGCCGGCTGGAGATCGGTACCGGCAGCGGGCCAGGGCCGGCCGAAGAGCGGCGCCGGCATCGGGACAGGGCCGGCTAGAGAGTAGTGCCAACAGCGGAGTTCTAAGTACGTGGTAAGGGGTACGGGGTACGGGATTCGAGGTACGGGATTCGAAGTACGGGGTTCGAGGTAAACCATAGGCACGGGGTGGTTGAACTCCCCTTTCTGCTAGAGTGAGAGGCAGGCGAGTGCATCTTAATGCCCCAGTGACAACGACGGGTTCAGTTGTGCCCACAGAGAATGAAATTTTCGCTCAGTGGTCTGAATGGTAGTCTGTGGATGTACAACAGAAGCGCTGATGAGCCGTGACGTCTGGGTATGTCACATGGCGATTGGAGCTGAAGGCCGTGGGCAAGCTCAACTAACATTATGGTGCGGACAGGATTCCTTAACGCTGCTAGCATGTAAGGAAATAGATCCATAACATCACTCATACCTAAATTTAATTTTTGAAACCTCAACTCTCCTGTTATGAATAACGTTGGATTACTGTACGAACCGCCTTGGTACACGGGCTGCATTTCAGTACGTTACGCTTGCGCATGGGATTAAACTAATTGCCTTCAGTCAACAAATATGAGCGAAAGCTGCCGTGGCCATTTGCTTGTCTGCACACGACCACCTATTCGGGAATTTTGAATAACTCCCTCATAATCGGCTTATATCCGTGTACCCGGGACTGGGCGATTTGCAACGATTAACGAACATAGCTCATAGCTTTGCAATTGCGACACCATCAGCAGTCATTAATAACCGCCTGTCAACCGACAGGTTTACCGAATTCACCGTCGCCTCATCACGCACTGCGACTGGTTAGTGCGATCAGCAGCGTACCCAGCACGCTCTCGTCGACTGAAATTTATCGGTGTCATCAGGGGTGCTGCGCGACCGGGAGAGGAGGCTAATGCGGATGATCCGGGCGTTGTTTGTTATCCTTAAAATACATTTGCCAAAGGTCTCTGCAAACACTTATTCGTATAGAATTTACGAGCACAATGTCACGTGCAGTTGGAACGGACGATAATTGGCGCTGGATTCGTAAAGCCTGCAAGCAGAGCAGAGGTGGTACAACCTGCCAGCTTGGTGGCCAAGGTCGGTGACAAAGCTGTATATTTTCACAGAGGTGGTACAACCTGCCAGCTTGGTGGCCAAGGTCGGTGACAAAGCTGCATATTTTCACAGAGGTGGTACAACCTGCCAGCTTGGTGGCCAATGTCGGTGACAAAGCTGTATATTTTCACGAGAAGCTTGGTGCTACAAATGCTTTTCACAGAAAATTTTGGTGACGTCCACTACACAATGCGCTCCAAACAACATGTGATGAGAGCTCCATACATAGGTATTATGCCTTCATGGGAATACATTTCGTCACACGACACAAACCTTTCGGCAGAGACCCTTAACCAAACCATGCAGCACCATAGTATCTTTTCAGGCTTCATCCCAGCCCAGCGACAAAAGTATCCGATGATTTCTAGTTGGTCACTAAGCTCGGTGACAGATAGGCAACAAACCAGCGCATTTCCTACGCCTTAGCTGGCCGGCCAATTCGCTTTTTTACCAGCCGACTTTCAGTGTCCAGAACTAGACAGTATAAAATGCTGAAAAAGACTTAGTATGAGAATTCATCTGGCTGCAATGGCATGTTTCAATCGTTGCGGTGCGACTGATATGGGGTGGGCGGAGACCTTCAGTACACGGGGACTTTGCGAGTGGCATGCGCTTTGCAGTGTCACGAATACCTGTCAGAGGCTTAATTTTTGGGCCTCGTTAGTTCGCGTTCGATTCCGCGGTTCAGCATCCTGTCGTCAGCTGCAATAGACATTGAATGTTTAGGGTAAGTCGGCGAGATGATCCGATCGAGGTAGATATTGACCTGTGATCATTCACACCGCCTTTTCAAGACACCGAAAAGGCTGATGACTCGCTGCAGCGCTAACGACCGCCCAGCCATTCTCCCCTTGAAAAGTACCATGGGTTCGATGTTGAAGGCTGTTGGCACTCCTCATGAACAGGAATGACAAGGTGAGAGTGGTTCTGAAGTGCCCATTTATGCCATTTGTGCTGTTGTCCTGATTCAGAATGGTTACCAATCACATGTATCTTCAAATCAGGAGTGTATTTAGTTTTCCATTTAGTTCGAGGCTCCAGCCTCTCCTCTAGTCCATGAAGGAGTGTGATAATTAGAGAGATATCCACATTGTGGGGATGAATTGCGTAATTTCTCATTGCTCCCCCAACTTATATTCAAAGTTCAAAAACTACAAGCTACAAACATCCGGCTTGAAATACAATCGATTCATTAGTGTTTTGTAGGCATTTAAAACACAGTTATTCACAGTTCGACCCGTTGTTAATATGTATCTTCGTTGCAGGAGTCTAAACAACTGTTAATGATGTACGCAATGGAAAGGCAATGAGAAGTGAGGAATGAGGTGGTGTAGCAAATGTAAACAATGGAGAGCGAGAGAGGGGAGGGATACAGGTGCTCCCCCGTGGCCCTCTCCACTTTTGCCAAGTTTCCAGTTGTCATAAGAGTTCAGTGACAGATTGACATTTGGTTCTCCCCGAGTAAAATGCTGGTTATTGCTAATGCCGGTACCCTTACTGTAACATGAAAGCTTTGAAAGTAAGTCATTCTAAGGTGCTTATTCATCAGCATATTTTCTTTTTGCTTGTGGGCATGGCATCGGCATGGATGCAGATATGATATAATTCATTACTGTTTTTGTTAACACTGAGGTTAAAAATTTCCTGGTGGAACCCTAGCCATCGCTGCATATATTAGTACAGGCTGCTAAGGCGGACAACCTGACTTCTATGCAGCCTACGTCGATAATGCAAATCAATATAGCTTGTCTGGTGGTGACACAATGACGGATGTGTCAATTTTTACGCATAAAGAGGGCAGGCAGCAACCCATCGGCCACACAATCTCCCCACTCCTAAATGTGGTTGTCATCAGACTTAGTTTGCTTTGTTTTGATTGCAGGCTATTTCTATTCCTAACTTAATTGTTATCTTACTGAAAATATATTTGGGACCCAGCTCAACGTGGGAGTTGGGTAGGGCGCCAGAAATTAGCT